CCTTGTGGGACGCTGGGAATTATTTTCTCATAGACCGATGTTATTCAACCGGTAGTTGATAGTAGAAACAGAAGTAAGACAGCAACGGATACAATCAGTGCTATGAACGGAGCGATTCATGAACAGTAGAAGTAACATGTTAACGTGCTAAAGTAAAGCACTTTGATAGAAACCAGAAGAGGAAAAGTTAGGTGACAGTGATTTCTGTAGGTCTATAGTGAGTAAGTAACCGGTGAAACAAATTCGCGGATTCAGACGATTGGGCACAGTACAGGAGGTTAAGTGTTAAAAAAACTGTCAGTATTTTCGGAGGATTAATTTGAGGATATGGAAGAAGGCGAAAATGATTTGGAAGGCTGGGCCTCAAGTGGGCTCAGCACACCCACGGACGTTTACCAAGATCATGAAGAAACAGAACGTGCAAGAGAAGCAAATCACCTGCACAATTAAACTAATTTGATACTGCGTCAATAGGCTATCATTTAACACGCGGTACGGGGGCTTTTAAAAATTATTATCCTTTGGAAGACCAAATCTGTGTCCCATTCCTGAGGGCCAGGTTAACTCTCAATCTCGGTCGGCTTGTTACAAGACGGATAGTCGAAATCCGATGCAGTAATTACGAAATTGCATTTACGGGCGTTAAGATTTGTAAATCTTAGCATCTGCCACTAGTAGTCAATCAAATGTCAATCTGGATCGGGAAGTTGACTTGCCCCAAGTAAAGACGCTGCGAAAAAGCCGGCAAAAATCATCGCTCTGTGAACTAGCCAAAATGAATTGAGTAGGACAACAGGTATCTATTAAGTAGACACAATGCACATTCAGGCAGAAGTTCATTTAACAGACAAAGTTTATTGCGCTGACCTCTGAATACGTACCGGCGCTGCCAGGAGAGCCTAAAATATAGTCAAGCGAAACCACTCTCCCACTTTCTTAAGGTGAGATCACACAGCCTATGTCAGACGATTCGATTTCTTTTTTGGCTTAGAATTATAGTTTGGAACAGTTACACGTATCAATGTGGTGATCAAGAAACTGGAATACTGGAAATTCAAACCGGTTGTGTTCACGATGAAGGAACGCATGAAACAGTGTTGCTCGTTCATAGAAAGTGAACCGAGACATTCAACTGACGACTAGGGATGACTTCAGATCAACTGACTTTACTTTGGAAGGATCGCTTTAATTCCTTCCAAGATTATATCCTCCTCCTTCCAAATAAAACAGTCCTCGGCTCAGTGGTGACTAAAATGGTAGTACGCGATACAGGTTATGTAGAGGTATGATCTCAACGGAAACTAAATAGTCTAGTGTTCCTTATTATAACGAACATCTTTATTTGTTCTGAAGATTTTCATCCGTTGGTTTTAACTCATATAAATACTTGACAAGCCCGTCCCCTCTTTAAATGCTGTTTATGGTTGAGCGCTAACCATTTACATGAAGCAGGTCTCACCCAATGGAGAAGGAATTGATTCAGATATTCCTTACAGGTAAATTTCCACAGATCATTTTGTTGGTCTTTGTATATCTATCGCTGAGGACAGACCGTATCACTAGAATTGTCAACTTTTAATACTTCACCGCCCTCTCAACAGAGAGCGCAGAATATTTAGAGGTTTCTCACATTCTCTAGAATCTTACCAAAAGACTGTGTTTGGTTGGCACTGCTATTCACTAATGCCAAATAAGTCATTTGGAATTTTTGTAGAGTTAGTGGTTTCGATTGAAAATATCATTTGCTTAGAATGGTTTTTTACTAGTATGCTATTTTTTATTTGAGGAGGCGTAATCTAAACAAATACTCCAAGAAGCACAACCGTTTATGGGTCTGGGGTGAAATATAGGAAAATTGTCTGCTCAAGTTTCCACTCGCGTGACATGTTACTGAATACGTACACAGTACGAACACATTCACGAAAGCTCAACGTCATAACGAAATGTACTGACGAACCGAATGCATTCAAACAGTAAACTGGGTAAATTTTACTCTACCGATGTCCTAGGTAAACGGGGCATGGGCTTCCAATACAACTCGACGAGACGACGTCCGCTCGCGACCAGTGTTCTTCACAAAAACAATTTTAAACCCGGCAAGTAAGTGAAACACAGTAGTCACATCGTACATCTCATCCTGGTTTTGTAGGTTTCATCTCCAGACGAATGAACAAGGCGAATAACCTCCGCTGCAGTTAAACATAAGATTCCAAAAATGCTGGTTCTACTTTTTCCAAGCAGGAATAACCTTTTTTTGGCAATAGTACGATTTGAAATGGGTGCTGTTCAGTCTCCGTCACGAAGAGACTGGACCTTACCGTGGTGTGACGGTTTGCGAATCTCAGCGATCCATTGAGCTATACTGGAGAGTGTCCCGCGACACTCACAGTGTCTCTCATACCAGGTTGGTCAATGGTTAGAGGTCTGACGAACACAGTCTCCTGGCCCTCCAGGTTGGGGGTTGGAACATGTGGCGACTTGTTCCGTAGAAATGGTAATGCATTTGCATTTCCCGCCAAACACCGCTGCCTTGCGGTTAGGCTTTTGAGCCAAAGGCTTTGGTTGAGGACCCTAGTCGTCCTCCTGTCTAGGTGTGGGCGCCCTGGCAGTATCCCAGCCCCACGTACAACCATGAATTGCACATTCACAATACGGCAGTGAAGCATCGGTGTTGAACACTGATGTCATGCTGTCGATGGTGATGATGATGTTACCGAATCGGTGTACGAAGCCTATGGTGGCCATCGAAACCCTGCCTTGCTGTGGGTCACAGTTGGTGCTGCGAGGGTCAGAGAGGCAAACTGGAACAGTAACCGGACTAGACTCAAGATCCACAATGCCACGCTTTTTTCTGCAGTCTTGTAGTATTCGATTGTTGTGTAAAGACTGGAGGTGGTTCTTCTAAACAATATCCGTGCAGCGGTGGTAACGTTCATCGAACACAAATTTCCATATCGTTCCATGATTATGTCTCAAACGTGCTGCTGATCGAATTTCACTGACAGCAGTGATTTGGAATGTTATCGGAACTGACTCATCTCCTTCCACGAAAAAATTAATCAAACTACACTCGGGTTCTACTACTTCGAGAAACCTCTCAACAGCGACCCCCTCCTTACTGAGAGGTTTCGTATGATGATTTGTTGTGCCCGCTAACTTAACGTACTTTTTCCCGCATAAGCACATAGCTTTAATGCAGCTGGCGTTTACTGATGTACATATTTTAGAACATACAGGTTAACTGAGCATATCCCAAATGTAAGGTAATATTGGAATGCATATCAATATTCTCATCTGTAAGAACGGAATACTTGTCGTACAATGGTTATATCTGTCACAGTTCTATTCACCGGTGATCTGAGGAATTGGTGATGGTAGTTGCGCATTGGACTCGGTAGCTGATCTAATTGATGCGTAAATACATAGTTCTCAGTAGACTTTTAAGTGGAGAGATTGGGAAGGGAGCTATGCATTGAACGCAAGAGACTGGATCTACGAGCGCCATGGAGGGCGCAACTGGACCATGTCCAACAATGTATCTAACTGTTGGTCTGGTCCGTCTTGGGGTCCCCATCCAGGAAGCTGAGGTTGCTGATAATGGCTTCCGTACTTCACGGTCAAGTCACTGTTCGACCTCCCTGACTCTTTTCCGCCCTTCACGTGGTTGTGCGAAAAAAGCCCTTCGAGAAGCCGGTCGACTGGCATACGGAGCACGTGGCCAAGCCAGCGCAACCCATGCAGTGTGATCAGTTCATCTATCGTGGGTGAGTTATTTCTTCCGTCTTTCAGCATTGCTGATCCGGTGTTCCTACCAGACCCGGGTGATGCTCTGAAGACATCGAGGGTCAAACACTGAAAGTCTTTTGACGTCCTCAGCGAGCAACGGCCAGGTTTCTGACCCGTATAATAATATGGATCGCACTGCATCATTGTAAACTCAACCCTTGACGGACGAGCTGTTGTCGCTCCTACGCCACAGTCCCTTGGGGCGTAAGCCAACACTACAAACAGCCACCGTTTTTTTATGCCGAGCGACACTGAGCATGATTGAACTGGATAAATGGACGGCGCAAAGACGACTGTTCATTGGGACCCCATCCAGCAAAGCGCGTTCAGCTCTGGGCTGAGTGCGACTCCCACGCCGAATATTCCAGAGTCATCGCTTCTGGGTCACCGGACACACGGAGGGAGAAATGTGAAAGAGCTGAGTTCATCCTTGGCGTTATGAGATGCATAACCACACTTGGGTCCTGTATGCATGTTTCAGAGACACACCATACATCAATTTTAAGCGAGTATAAGGTTTCAGTAAGCATTGCCTGTTTGCCCATTTGACATAGAGTGCGAACGTTAAAATTTTCTGTATAGAACCGATCCCGTGGATTCATAAAGGTGCTATTTTGTTTATTGTCAATAGGCAGCTGAGTTCATAGGGCCCATCGGTGAGATAAGTGACAGTCAAACGACCCAGTGACGTTTGCTTATGTTGTGGGAGGGGGTAGGGGAGAGGCATCGGTGGAACAAAAACTATGTATGATACTTCCCGTTTGCCTCAGTCGAAGGAGAGGGTTTGGTTGAGGTAACTCACCTTGAGCGTTTGACAAAATTGTCTGATCCACAAGGCAGCGGAAGAGTGTAGTGTTTTGCCCCTAGCCTCTGACTTAAAAGTCCGGCGCGTGAGGCAGCTCGCACTAGGGTTTCCTTTGGACACCCTTCCCGAAGTTGGTGATTGAATGTACAGCTGCATGGGGTTGGCCTAACCCAAGGGTTCAGGAAGAAAGGCATTACTCTCTCACTCCTGATGAGCCTGCGCGTAACAGATACCCATTGAGCAGCGCCGTTCTGGTGTTTTTTCGGTAAAGGCGTTTTCATCTCATGTTCGGTTAGCGTCCATCTTTGGTGAAAACCTTTAGGCTTTTTCATACTTTTGTCCAATTTACTCCTGTAATAACAATACACTATGAATGTTTGTCGCTCCCTGTTTGTTTTTCATTCCATAGCCTGGGCCGCAATGCAAGCTGGAATCATGGCGGTGGTTATTGACAATGACAATCTTCTTGCCGTAGATATGGAGCCCTATATTGACGAAGTGAGTCTCTTACGACTTTACTTGGATGACCCACAGAAGAACATTTTTCACGCTATACATAATCGAGCCATTTTAATCACGGTTGTTAACTGTGAGCTGCTGACTGCAAACTGTCCAGATCTACACTTGGAAGTGTGATTTTGGTATTTATTCATTCTTAACCATTTCTTGGAGTGATAGACACGGCCTAGTAGTTATCAGATCAATGGTTTGAGCAACTTATTCTTGAGCAGTCAAATCGTCTGGCCAAATCAGCAACGCTTAGAACAAGGCAAACCTTCCTCATAAACGAGCCATTCGAGCGAAGTTTTCACAATAATCTCTCTATTCCTCCAAGATCAGTTGAAGTCTTTACAGCGAATGATCTTTTTTCGGAGGGGGAAACATACAATGGGGGCGAGATGGCCCAAGTGGTTAGAGCGCGAATTTACTGACCGGAAGTTCCGTGGTTCGAATCCGACCTCCGCCACTCGACTTCTCCTGTCTAGGCTTGGGCAACCTGGCAGTTAGGCACCGGAAAGGTGCTACAGCTGAACGTGTTTTATTTAACGTATTTGTCCCATGATATATTCGAATCACAACCTCTGCTCAACCCGCATTCAATTTTTTCAGGGTGTAAAACGTGGTTATTCCGTTCATCTGATTGAACCAAACACACCATGGCGCTACAGTCCTCGAAAGCTTTTCAGGTAGATCCGAGTTTTCTGCTTCTGGTTGTTATTTCACTTATAGTCATTGAATTGCGTGATTGCCCGCCTAGTCTTTACTTAAATCCGCCTTCTGCCACTCGGTGTACACACGTATACATGTAACTGTGTGGGGCACTTGCGTAAGATCATCGTACTTCCCAGTGTTTTGTTCCAAATTCCAGATAGGTAAATGTTTCTAGCACGAGAATATGCACCGATCACTAGGGGTAGGCCGAAAATACGTTCCCCGAAACTATGGCGTTTTCCATGCCTATACTTTCATGAATGCTAAGCCTGGCTTGAATGTGCACCTCGGTGACCTCTTGTTGGGAGTGGTTTGTTTAGTTTGGCGCATCTTCAAGGTCACCCAGCACTTTGATTTGGAAAAGCGTTTGCTATTATGAGCCTCAATATGCGAAAATTGGAAAGTAGAACGATGCATCTTCCTTCTAATACTTATAAACTTTTCAGTATCGATGATGAGCCCGCAGCTAATGAACATTTAGCTTCCCAGGACTGATTGCCTTCATCGAAGCATTCTTCGGTGCTGAATTTTACGTGTGATTGTGTACAAATGACATGGTCATGGTGGCTATGGCTTATAGGGCGATAGAAATTTGGGCGGAAAGCGCGGCGATGGTTATGCTGAAAATACTCTAATGTCCCTTGAAGGTCGGTTAAACAGACCCGTTGTTTTGCATTACAAAAATGCAACAAGATGGCATTCTCTGGTCAATGCACCCAGAACTACCAGAGCCTCAACTGAGCGCTCTATTTACATGGTATCATAGTAGCTGTGCGAACAAAACTCCGACGTCCCGCATGGGAAGGAACCGTAATACTTCATGACCACCGGCAACAAAGCTGACAAAAACAACGTTTGTGCTTACAGTTGGGTTTCAGCAGACAGATGGACAGAAGTTAATTTTACATTCCGTGTAGTCGGTGAACAAAACAAATTCGAACGCGGGTGTGCAACTCTGAAGACCAACAGGTGTCCGCAGCCCAACAGTATAGAAAGCAATTGAGCTATTTACTTAGTGTCGTACGGAGAATTTCACTTAAAGGTAGATCCTCTCTTGGCATTTTGGTTCGATAACTCATTGTCATAAAATGCTGGCGTGAACTTGAAAATACGCGAAAATCCATATTCGGCAAATTCGTACCAGCAGTGATTGCTCAATTTTGTTCGCGCATTCAGCTACTTAAGCGTTACAAGTAGCTCATAATTAATTTATATGATACTCGAAGCATCAGAATGCGAGAAGCTGTGGTTTCCATGACGTCCTATTTCACCAAGTTTGTACGAGCGCAACTCCTTTCTGGTTTCCTGGAGATGGATAGAGTTTCAGCACTAGAAAATCCATTCCGTGGTATCTCGTAACTGTAACAGTTACTCTGATCGTGCGACATAAGCCCCTGCAGTTCGCAACAAAGATGGAGGGAGCATGCACCGAAAACTCAGAGTAGAAGTCTCACTTTATTTGTCAGGGGTTCTCATACCTCCACAGGACAATAAATTCAATACTCCTTTGGACAAGTGGAACTTTCGTAGGGAAAACATAATATATATATTCCTTGTATATGAAATAAAAACTACATAACCCCTCTGAGGAGGCTAACAAGCCTCTGGGCGTTGACTTTGAACGGGCATGACTGAAGCTGAGCTGTTTGCAAGAATAAAAGAAAATCTGAGAGAATGGTATGATTTACGAACGACTTTCTTACTAACAAGTGCTATGCTCTTATTTGATCAGGTGGCTTTTGATTTGTTCACCGAGCTTGGCAACTGACTTGCAGACGTTTCGTTGCCATCTGAGGAGAAGTCATCAGTGCGTTGTTGATGTTGATGCGCACCGCTGATGCCACCTCAAATGGTGAAGAAATGTCTGCAAGTTCATTGCCAAGCTCAGCGAAGAAATAAAAAAGCCCTCTCATCAATTAGCAATAGAATTACTCCCCCTATCAATATTCCAACACATAACCAGATTCTATATTTCCTTGTAAGAGTTTTCCCTTGGTGGTGGACGCCTTTCAAGGGAGTCTTGCATGCGTCTGAGGATCCACAAAGAGATACTGTTCCGCTTTTCGACTTTCATTGAGATCTCGTCTCAGCAGAAGTCGATATTTTCTTCGTTCTCCATGGTTCCCTCTCGACCAGTTGAAAAAGTCTTTCACCGACAGACTGTTGAAGAATGCAGTATTCTATGCTCTGGTGACATCTGCCTGAGTGCTTCCATACATACTTCTTCTTTTTTGCCTCTGTCTCAGATTAAAAGGAACACGATCACGTTCTTACATTACTGAGTCTTATTCATAGTGCGGTGGCAGAACAAGATTTTCGTTACCCGCCAAGGGTCGTGTAAAAGCCGCAGTACTGAACCAACGTGTAAATACTTCGATACCCAAAAACAATGTGGACCATAAATAGCACACACGTAGTCAAGTATTCAGAGAAGGTTCTTTTCAAGTTGATCCTCGACCTTTGCTCAAACGACCATCATCTTTGCCATCTCCCATCACTCGTCAGTTTGGTCGCTCCATAATAACCAAGTATTTCGGAGAAACCCATTTTTGTCGTTTATCTAACCGATTGTTTCTCAACCAAACTTCCTTGTGATGTAGAATGGAGACGAAATATGTGCAAGTATGCGCTTCTGTAATATTTTTCGTGGAACACTGGATGTTTTTTCCATGAAGCGCTGTTCTTATTGTCTGCTTTCTATGCTTTTCCACTTTTCCATATATGTTAACTACTAGCATCCGTCTTCTAAATTCACGCTGGATTCCTATGGTGTGCTCAGAGAACTCCTAGGACATTATGTTGAGTGCTGAGTGGGTGAAAAACGCGATTATGTTCATTTGAATTAAAATATTGAAGTTATAAGAGTAGGGTATAGTAAACGGCGCTCGTTACTGATGATTTCATACTGCCACTTGAATTCTGTACAACTTTCGTCCTCTGGCTACTCCATACATCATCAATGTTGTGTGAAGTGCGTTCACTTTATCGATCAACCTATTCCAGTTGTCATGATACAACCAACGTTCTAGAAATCTTCAGTACCTGTGCGTGAGAGAGCAAGGTGATCAAACTTGCCGGGATAGAAGCAATAATCTCGTCAAGCAGGCCGAGTGAGTCGCGGCAACGACATGCTATTGAAATTTTTCTTTCCGTTCGCAGAAAAATGGAGGGAGCTCATGGTAAATCATTCTGTACGGTGACCGACTGTGGTTTTCTTATCTGATATGAAAAAAACAACTTTCTATCTCCTGGAGACTTTGCGTCGCAAACCAAGGCTACTGGAGATGCTTGTATCGTACTACTGGGTCATTCAAACTGCACGTTTTCCCAACATTGATCGAATTTCTTCCACCTACGGTTCCAGAGAATGTGACTGTATGCTTAATTAATTCAATCGTGCTTGCGTATTCTAACCAGCTGATGATTAGTCTTCATCGTCGCGTGTTTCAAACGCAGAGAACTTTGGAACTCGTGTTGCCGATCCATCAGTGCTCGGAATACTTGTCTCGTTCTTTATGACTGTCAGCAACATTCTTCCTCTTTGTCAGACTGATTCTGTGGTGAATTCCTGGTTTTCTCGGTACCATAACCTCCAAGGTTTTTTCGAAGTATTTTTTACCGTCGACATGTTTAGTTGCAATGTGTGGTTTGTTTATTTCAGTGTGACTGACTGAATAGATCTTCCTGCATTCGCCAAGAACAAGAGCGACTCACGTGCGACCCGTCAGTTCATCCTAATTAGCTGATCCTTCTTAACATTGGGTGTGTAACACGTCAACGATCGGTAATCATGATCAGGTGCACTGGATTCGTAAATTAGGGACATTACCCATTAAATCCGCGGAAATCACATTTTCGAAGTTTAGCTAAAGGACAAATGGAGTAGCAACAAGGCACACTAGTTTTATCAAGTTGTTTGTGCACTAAATCAGAGAGCAAATCCCTCAACCGGTTTGTTTCCAGCTTTGACGTTCTAAGTAGAGCTTAAGCGGTGCAAAAACACTGGGCGTCTAGAGTATCGGACACCCTTAAACTGACAACAAAAAGTCGAATGTGTCAGAATTATTTTCACAATCAAATGCATCCTCTGAGTTAGAGCACGTCCAATGGGGTATGGATCTGAAATGGATACACAAAACTGGAGAGGTTTAGAACCACCACCCTAGGTTTCCAGGCCGATTGGGAACTAACAGTACTCCGTGCCGACAATTCTACTAGTCGAAACTGTGGCTGTTTGCGAATCGACTGACCATGATGAAAAGTGTTTATTTTAGCTGTTTTTAGCCTTTGTCTTGGATTTGATTTTCTCGACTATCAATTATTTCTATGCCAAACATTATATCCACCCACTAACCATTCTGTGCTGATTAGGCATACTTCAAAGAAAATTTCATCCGAGCAGTTACAAACAATGTTGGATACTTTTGATCGGCGACTCCGAGAGGAGCAATTGGTTTCCGCAGCCCGTCGTCGGCTTAATCCGATTGCTCTCTCACAAACTGGTCCGCCGTCCGTGTCAACCTCAGTTGATTCACCTAGAGAGCCTGATGCAATTGTGAACGACTTGGAACAACCTCCTGAGAATGAGGAGTTTCTTACCGCAGACGAGTAAGTCGTCTGATGACTGCCCTGGTGTCATAGTAACCTAGCACATGGTCTATCCGCTGGGTCCTCTTGGAAGCTTGTCTCTTCCCTGGAAAAAATTAACTCATCTGTATGTTGCACATTGGTGACCACTTGCACGTTCAAAAAATAGGTGATATTATGGCAGGATCATTTCAGCTCTACTCATTTGATCGTTTGTCACCATTTGGAATATGAACAAAGTAACGGATACGAAGAACGTGATAAGAAAGACTTTATGGGGCAGAAAAGTGTGGTAGAATGCAGTTTGAAGGAATAGTGTGGGTGCGAACATTTTAGGTTGGGCCAATAAACCAGAATGAACAGGTTAAGATGGAATTGTTCCGAATCAAGGGAACGAAAAAAGCCGGGTAATACTGGATACAAACAGTGAAAGTAGAGACCTCCCTCAAAACAGAACACGCGTCAAAACTACCTCTTTTATTCATAAGTGGGGTCTCAGTTACCTGAGAGCCACTGAATCTATCCAACGAATAACACTAGGTCGCTTATGGTGGCTAATCCGAATTGAACCTAGCCCTCCAGTACTATATCTGTCCAGACTATCTTCCTTTTTATTTGTTTGGTGGTGTTCGGCAGCAACTCCGAACAGCTATTTTGGTGAATGTTCTTAAATGTACACGGGTCTGTGTGGTTATTTTTACCCAGTCAGTTTCCATAATTGTATAGATTTTTAGCACGGATAGCCATACGCTGCCGATGAAACCAGTATTCTCTGTCATTTGGAGGAAAGAAGTCAAATCAACTGTTTGGAACGCACTTTGAACGTTACTGTATACATGCACCTCTCACTCCGACTCGTGCGACACCTGCGGGACATGGGGAGGTTTACGTATCCCCTACGGGAGTGACAGTTATGGCGGCACCACTGGATTCGCCGATACAACCAACGCGCAACCAATTCTTACATTGAATGGTTTGGTAGGATACGATATGGGAACGGTTCCAAAGAAAAGGTTGGTAATTTACAGCATCATGGCGACATATAACCGAAGTGACATTAGGATCAATGGTTCATTATTACAACAAAGAACGACGGGTACATCATAAGCAACAATATGCAATAATGAAAACCAGTGGAAGGGGCAAAATAGACTTACCCCGGCAAGTGTATCGGCAACGCGTCAGTTTGAAATGAGCGGAAACTTACAACGGAGACGAGGTATACTTTAAAAAGACCAAGGACCAAATAAAAGATTAACGAACAGCCACCCGTTTATTGGAGTATGGTGGTCTGACCCACTGCAGCCATGATTGCATGAGCTGTAATGCAGAGAGGTTGAATCTCTAGTCGGGGCTCCGCCTGGCACCGAACTATTCGCTTTCCAGTGGTGGTCACCAAATCCAAGATACCCATAAAATGACTTAAAAATAAAGTAGAAACGAGTGTCCCTGGATGGACATGAAGCCGAATAGCTGGATGACACACAGGATAACTTCCACATTCTCCACGTTGGGGACGATACATTTTGTTTCTATTAACTAAATATCACCTATAAAAATATGGGGAATGGGGTTGACACTTCCGGTTGAAAACGGGCTACTCATATTTAGTTGTTTGCAACAGGCTCCGAAGAGAATCAGTACTCGGGCTCCGAAATCGGACTCAAAAACTCATTAACCCCGACGCTGTATACTCCCCAGCGAAATAATCACAATACTCGTCCCTCTTGAAGCCGTTTCGAAAACGCCCTGCAAAAGCACCAGACAGAAACATCCCAGTTGTACCAGCAAGTTCTCTTTCACATCTCCTGGAACTTTTTTTAGAAAAAAATAACCAGAAGTATGTAAGAATGATAGTAGTGCTCTAAAATTCATAAGTAAAATGTCACGAATTATTGAATAAATACAAAAACAAGCTTATCTGTTTCGTACTTGTGAATAGTTTTCTTACTATTTTCCAGCGAAAATTTGAGTTGTGCTGAAACGAAACTTATGCAGAACCACTGTTCTATTATAGAACAGCCCATATGTACCATCCTGTAGTCTTTGTTGAAGAATATGAATGGAACCATAGACAAATACATGGCCCAAAGCGCTGCCCGTTCCAGCTCCATTTATGTAACCGACTATCAAAAACGGAAGCCCTACATTGAAGGTACGACTGCTAATGGTCCTCTGAAAAGAACCCTAGGAATATTTGTAATGTGCTACTCATAAGGTTGCTGAAAATCCATCGATGGATCCATCGGTGTATATTCGCTAACCCTAGGAATAGGTTAATTTGGAATATATGGGAATTCAGTTAATAGACTCCTTCAAAGAAACGAATTAGAACGGCAAAAGAGACTACCTGCATATACGTAATTGTCGTATCTACCGCTACAATCCCATAGGGTAAAAATCGTTCAGCAATCGCACCCTTTTGGTGCCTAACTGCCATGCCATCCGAAGGTTGCACGAGGGTTGGGATACTGCCAGGTTGCCCAAGCCTAGACAGTGTTAGTCGAGAGGCAGAGGTCGGGTTCGGACCTCTGATCATTAAATTCGCTCTCTAACCACATGGGCCATCTCGCCCGCAGGGTAAAATCTTGGAGCATTCAATCCAAGTGGCTCAATTGTATCCGCGGTCGTGTGTAAGTCATTGGTATTATCGTGGTAGTCCAGCCCTGTGCTGTTTGTGAACCGTGGTCGAAATGCGACGACAGCCGTTCGGTGCTGTCAGGCTACGTCCGGCTCTCGAGTTTATTTTGCTTACTGATGACTTACTAGTGAGCTAATATTGCTGACTTTACTATTAAGCTGATACTGCTATGCTGGTGGTGACAGCCTGTACTCAGTTCGCATCGTTAGTACCCACGAAACGCCTCTATTCACCACTGTTGGATTTGCTTTATCCTAGTAACTCATTCCAGGCATGGACACTTTACTGTCTAAATTCATTCTGAAAACCTGGAAATCCAGAAGCTGTAATGAGACTGATTATCTATTTGTTGGCAAGTGTTATGTTATATTTTAGTGCTCCGTATTCACTTACAGTTTGCTGCAGTCTGTGTATTTAGATATGACTTCAATTAAAACAGATGAATGAATCAACATACAAATGGGTCTGGGAGTGCGTGTGTGTACAAACTTGAAACACAAGGCCATGATCTCACCGGTCATGTAAACCGTGCTACTTTTTTAATCGCCATCGCTAAAACGCCACAGAAACGACCTCAGCCGATTCTACCTAACGGTGGATACTACTGATGAGGCATGCGAGTAGTGTTTCCTCGTAAATCCGCTTTGTGTCTCTTGAAAAGAGATCCGTTACGGAATTTGTGGAGTCGCTTTGTAGTATTTGCTTGCATCTAAGTAACAGTCAATGAATATTCGGGAAAGTTCAAGAAGACGCGTTCAAGGAGAAGATAGGTATTCAGTTTTGTAAACAAGGTTCATATGAGGATTTTGCTCCCCTGTTCAACAGTCTATAACTGTCCAGTTGGCGTTTCCCTGATAAGCAACTGCTCAGCGAAGGCCTTCTTCCTTTCGCCAGCAATACTTGAATGAAAGATCACGTTTTGGATCGTGTGACCGAAATAGTGATAGAACAGTTCGTTGGGTGAAGGAACCAAGAAAATCCACTGTACGGAAATTTGAGTTAGGAGTTTCCAATTGTCAAATGAGCTATATAGATCCCAGTTAAGATGTAGTAGGTTAGCAAATTAGGCACCTAATAACGTGGTACGCTATGAAAAAATCACACTGAAGCGAACGTGTTGGCTTCCTAGTCTATATTTGATACTATGTCAAACAAACATATCAATTTCCTGGTGTCTTCTACGAGTCTTCTTCGAGTTTCTTCAAAAAGGAGAGAGCAAGTAACAGTACCTTTGCGTGGCATATTTTTCATTCTCATTATCCCAATGCTAACCGTTTCATTAACTCCTGCAGGCTGTGTATGGTTTCAGCTGTTAATGGTGAGTCCTCACAAAACCACTCTGCTTCTCAATTGGAAAACATTTAAGACAGAATTACGCTCGTGCATTTTTTTTGAAACGGAGTACTGACGTAGGTTATGGGATTACGCAGATTACTAGATGCAGTCACTTCGGTGGTGTTTGTCAGCCGCACTCAATTAGCTAGGTCTAGAAGTGTACCCACTTAGGCAATGCAGTTGGAGGACACAGGTAGTAAATAAGACATTGTTTACCGATAGTTATTTCCAGAATGTGTCAGTTTCTCGACTCAACATCATTTTGATTCACAAAGTTTACTGCACTGTTTCAAAAATGACTAAGTGTAATGAGTTCATACCATGTACCAGTATCGGGAAAGAAGTGTTTGGGCAAGGAATTCGGCCTCTCTGAATTACTTGTCGTGTTGTCTGTGGAGACGGTGACCAATAGCTCTTATAGGTCCTTCCAGTTGGTCCAATTATTTGGAGTGGAGTTGTTCGCTGATTCTTTAGCGTAGATCACGTTTACTTCTACCTATGTACTTTTCACCGCACCTGCAGTCGAATGCATAAGACGCATATGAGGCAGAATGCGACCAATTTAAGTACTGTTGAATTGAATACTTTTCATAGCATAGCTGTGCAGCCGAATATGTGCGTCGTAATGCTGACTAAGGTTTGTGACGCACTCCGCTTTTGAGGTGATTTCCTCTTAAGGCGGTTTGAGAAAAAAACCCTATTCCACCCGGTATAGTGAGATAAATAACCTCTTACACTGAGTCGGCCGAGGAGAAATCACTCAAGCGTCCGGTAACACAGCATCGTTTTGCAGGGATTTCTCATGCATTGTCGCTTTTCCCTCATATCAGGCCCGAAAATGTTTACAGATAAATGCTCCAGGAAATCATATATCAGTATTCCCCTACCGCCTACCGTATTGCCTATCTCCGACCTGACAAAAGCGTGACTTTAGGACTTTACCCCTATTTCCAAACTCAGGTTTCCACCCAAACAGGTCGATCGACTGGGAGTGTTAGTGGAATTTCATCGATGATCAAACAAAGTGACTAACTGCGAAGAGAACAAAGCGCTAGCTGGTTTGAAGCAAATCATCAGACGTTTGAAATGCATTTGTGTCCTCAAAGTGCTCCAAAAGCGTTTTCGGGTACCAGGACATCACCAGGCGACTACTTAGTTGAAGTCGATACCAAATGTTGTTCGTTATTCTTGAATCGGATAGTGACTCCGCTGTTTGTGGAATTGATAAGATCCTATTATATTCCCGAAATTTCAAATACCCTCGATGACCGATCAGAATTTATACCTGACTCTTTTAGGGATGTAAAAGTTCGTTGAAAAAACAGACTTCGGGATAACTGTCACCAACACTCAACATAGCCTACGTCAACTAATGAACACACGACCACTACCAGTGAGCAGCCCCTCCAAACTGCATCAGTCTGGTGTACCACCCTGTCCAATTATTGCAAGGTGCATCTGATGAGCTGCGCCTTGCATCATCACACACTCGCTCATTGACTTGAAAGCACATGGGAGTCTTTACAAGGGGTCGTCTTCACTCATTGTGTGGAAGACACACTAGAATGACTCCACTTGCTCGACAAACTCTCAACCAAGTTTCCGAATCCCTTTACATTACGAACAAAGCGAAAAACAAGAATTTCTAGGCATTTTTAGACATTGAACCCACGGTACGCACGAACGGTTCTCATTAACGAACGGTCTACGTCAAAGCCACATTCAGTGGCCGGTATCTGCAGTTCTCGAGCCGAATGCGCCGATCGCGTGTGAATTTGCCTTCGTGTAGACTATGCTCATCGAGACATACCGCACGTGCACTGAAGACTGCTCAAAATAAGAGGGAAGTTTCTGACTAAAACCTTGCTGGCCAGTGGGTACCATGAGAACCTTGCCAACCTTCATAAGATCTGTCTGTGTGTGGTAAGATAGATGATTATCTCAAACTGCCTTTAATGAGAGTTCAGTTTACAAACGAAGTGCACTAAAGGCTTAACTCAGCATTGAGTTCACATTCTGATTGCACAGCTGTCATCATCATCACCGACAGCATAACATCAGTGTTCAACACCGATGCTTCACTGGGGGAAGGTACTTAGTACTAGCTTAGCACAATCATTCC